AGAGAGCAGATTTCTCCTGTATTGGCTTCCCTTCATTGGCTTCCTGTTAAATCCAGAATTTGTCTTTGTGTTGGTCTATGACAGAAAATCTTGGTAAAAACATTGTGGTTGTAAGGTGACAAAATGTATAAATGTTCAGGGGTTATGAACAAAAATAATTTCTAGTATTTATAATAGGCCTATCATAGCATGGGCCTGTTCCACTGGAGATGTAAAAAAGTAAAGTTTGTAACTGCAGTTTTATTCAAGCCATACTCATACAGAAATTATTTTTTTTACTTTTTTACTTTAAAGTTATTTTTGGCTGTCTTGGAATCAGCAGCAAATGCAAGATAAGATGAGTACGCTAGCAGCAGTTTCAGGACAAGTAGGATTTAACATCCACAAAGGTAAAACTAAGGTCATCAAAATAGAAAAAAGAAGCCAGAACAGAAGCAGTAATCCTGGCAGAATCCCTTCTCTTAGCTCCGTCATTAACAAGCAGGGAGGAACAGACACTGATGTCAAACCGACAACAAGCAAAGCAAGAGCTGGATTCTTAAAGCTGAAAAACATCTGAAACTCAAGAACACTTAGATCAGAATCTCCAACTCCAATGTGAATATTAGAGGAAGTGTTGGAAGGATGATGATGTAGATGATACGACGTACGCTGAGGAGACCACGCAACAACATCACCAACAAGTTGGGACAAATCTGGCATCAGACTTAAACGATGGCTCAAGAACGAGCTGTTTGGAAGATCCTTGTAAACGTTTTGTGGAGTGTTAGGCATAAGGAAGTCCATTTAACTTGGTATAACTGTGATTATCAAATGGTTTGGGCTTCTGGTTGAACAAAGTGGCATTGAGGTCATAACACATGGAGCTTTAAACTCTTTTATTTGGGCTTAGAATACTGCTCAAACGATTTGTGCTTTTAGTCAGCGATCATCATGAAACAAGCAACCCGGCCATGTTTGTGTACCTCATTTGAATAAGCAGCTCGCTTCCTTCCATCTAGCAACATCAGAAGAAAGATTTTGAAAAGATGAGCCAGTTTGTTTGAAGCAATATTTTCTATTGAAGACAAAATTTCAAATTTCAAAATGTCACATTTAAAAAAACAATTTGTTCCCAGTCATCAAACTCAGATTAATAACATTTTAGCTTGCAGAAGAATTTTATTGCTTGAAGTATTTCCGAGCCATCTGAGAAAGCACATTTATTTCCTTCAGTGTGGTGATTTTTTACTCTAAAAGTAATCAGGTGTCTTTATGACCCACCTCCTTCTTCAGTACTTCCCCAGCCGGTGACCCAGCTGTTAACACCGCTGTAGAAGATGCTGTCTGAAGCTGCCAGGCAGACGGGAGAAATGTACTTGTTGAAAGTCACCGGTGAGGAGAGCTGCAGGAGGCAGATGTCGTTGTCGTAGGTATCAGAGTTGTAGTTTGGATGGTTGATGATCTGTGTTACAGTTCGAGACACTGCATTGGGATTAGATCCCTGTAGACTCTGACGTCCCAGATTCACAGTCAGTCCTCTCCGGTTGGTGCTGAGATCATCAAGGAGCACAAAACAACATGCAGTTATTACGATGGCTAAAAAGAAATGATATTATTGACTTCCTACCCTGTTAAATGTTTATCCTGTTACACCCTCAGCCCCCTGATTACGACCTTTCATAATCTCTTTATGGTAATAAATCTTGTTTAGTGTGCAGCTTCAGCCTCATTACTCACGTTGGAAAGCAGTGAGCAGCAGTCAGCACCCACTGACTGTTAATGAGGGATCCTCCACAGAAGTGGGTCCGAGATCTTTGCAGACTGACCTGCCAGGGCCAGCTGCCATCGCGGGCCACCTGTCCTCCTACAATCTTGGTGTTCAGAGGCGCCTGACCACAAACTGAAGACCGACATTAAAACACAGAGTGAGCATTACTGTAAGAGCTGTAAACTCTCAGCATTACAAACTGCTGAGTGAGGACACAGTGATCCTGGGAGTCTACAGTTCACTCACAAACTAATATTCATATGAAACTAAAGATTTATTACACATAAAAGTAAATCATTACACAAAGAAGCTTTATCTTACCATTCAGCTGTGACTCAGACTCTGAAACACAGGAAAACATTTTGGTTAGTGTCACCTCGGCTATTTTGAGTCTTCAAACTGGACGTCTGGACTTTTGGAGCATTTTTAAAGACATCATCTGATCAATAACAGCGCTGCTGCGGTTTCAAGTCTTTGGTGTCTGGGAGTCCACGAACACATGAACTGCAGTTACATCATAAGTTTAAAGCTTATGGACGTGCTGCACATGATTACTACATGATTACAATGACCAATAATTATTTTTAGGGGCTTGTTTATATTAAATAAAACATGACACAGAGCATTACAGCACATTAAAAACACAACAGCCTTAATTAACGCAGTGGGCGATTGGACCCAAACGTTGGGTTGATACGTCATCACTTAACAGATAACAAGGAGGGTAACTAAGAGTGAGCTCATAACTAAGATCTCCACCCTCCCATCGAAATATGGCCACATCTGACTTCATGAGCTTTAAGAAAAATAATTTCCTTGGTACTAAAACTGATTCTGAAGTACAATTTCACTAACTTAGAGGGTAACCGTGGCAGATCGTCTCAAAACAAATTTCCCACGCGTGGGACTAATAAAGGTTATCTTATCTTGAAACAAGCTTAATCTCCACATTTCAACTTTTGTTTCAAAATAGATTTTCTAATTTAATCTTAAAAATTTGACTTTATTCTTAAAATGATCAGTAATGTTTTTTCCTAATGTGGCCCTAATACTCTGTAATTAAGTTCTAACTACATAATTATATCTAATAAAGTGACTTCTTACGTATATTATATCCAATATAAGCATTAGAAATATCCTGTCTCAGAGTGATGCTGAAAAACTAGTTCATGCATTTATTACTTCCTGGACGACTGTGATTCATTATTATCAGGAAGTCTTCAGTTAATCCAAAATGCTGCAGCCAGAGTCCTGACAGGGACTAGAAGGAGAGAGATTTCTCCTGTATTGGCTTCTCTTCATCGGCTCCCTGTCATGGGAGCCAACATTTTCTGTTCATTTTGCATCATTGGCATGTACTGTAGAAGACGTGCTAAGTTCTTGTTGTTGCTTGTAGTACCATATCACCCCCTGAAATGTTGGTGATTTGACGATATATAAATAAAACTGAATTGAACTGAATTTTCTTATCACAACAAAAACAACAGCTGAATGTCATCTACGAGGACGTGAGCCACATATTTGAACTGTAATATCTCTTCTTGAGTATTAAGACTTAATATGTTAATATTATAAAACTCTGTAATATAAGTCGTAAGTTCTTAGTATGAATTGAAATAAAATTTAAACACTGAATCAAAGCTAAAATAAATTAAATACAATAAAAAAAATTAAATAATAATTAAAATACAATAAAATAATAAAAATACATTAAAATAAAATAAAATTTAAACACGGAACCAAAGCTAAAATAAAATAAAGCAGCTCTAATAACTGTGATACAGACGCTGATTGATGGAGAGCTTCCAAACCAAACAGATTAATCTGTGTTTAAGCTTTCATCACCAAGATAAAGATGAAGCTAAAATAAACCACCAGTCCTCCTTTTCCTGCAGTGTCACTTTAAAGTGAAGCGATGTGCTCCTGAGTGTTTTCGCCCTCTCAGTCGTACCTGATGCAGGTGTGTGCAGAGAGCTCTTACCTTGGGTCAGGAGCATCAGCCCAGCAGCCAAACACATCACTTTGTAGAAAGCCATCGCTGTGAGATCCATACGTCCAGACCTGCTGAGGCTTAAATAGCCTTCCTCTCTCATGCTCCTCTCTGTCTGCATTAAACACACCTCTCTCTGACACCTGTCTGACGACACACCCAACGCCTCACTGCAGCTCACCTGATCCAGGAATTTCAGCAATGTTGAACTTTTTTATTTATCCGTTCCAGCTCAATTTCTCTCCCAGTCAATCAGTACACGTCCTTTTCTCCTTCCTTGGTGTCCAGCCTCACATACAGTTCACGATGAGCCTTTTCCTTTATCTTTGCCAGCAGTCCGGTCCACTTCCTTCAGCTCCCTCACTATCCCACTTTTTCTTTGCTAACCTCTTCCTTTGAATGCTTTCCTGTACTTCCTCATCCTAACACCAAGTCTTCTTCAGTACACCAAACACCTTCTTGGATGTTTCCCTCAGCACCTTCCCAGCTATCTGGTAACTTTTTCCTTCCAACCAGAACCTGAACTCTGAGCTACATTCTGCCTTCTTTAACTTCCACCATTTCATCTTCATCTCTGTCTTTAGCCGCGTCCTCTTCTTGATTTTTATAGTCATCCTACAGAGTGCCATCAAAATCTCCCCTGAGGCCACCGTGCAGTCTTACATCTCAGATCGCAGGTTCTGCATAAGACATAATTTTATTGTCCAGCAGAATT